AGCGATAAAAAAAGCGGAGGCTTTAGAATATAGTCAGAGAAGAGAGAAGATTAAAACTAGTTTCAATTTCAAACTAGTTTCGAATTTTATTCCTGAGGAGCTAACATATAGTTAGCGAAATATGTGTCGAGGCGTTTAAAAAATCGCATTGATGGTTAGTGGTAAAACAGTGTATTGTGTATTCTGTTATACTCTAAAAGACTATCTCGATCGTTACAAAGTTTGCTTTATGTCGCCGCGAATTAACTTCACTATGTAGTTGAATGTGTATGAAGCTAATGAAAAGACAGCGTACAATTTCCTTCCTCAAATATTTGCTATCTGTTAGGCGTGAGAGGGTGGTGCTTCGAAATGTACGAATAAAGTAATTGATGCGAACTCATCGCACATAGCACGTGACATCTGATCATAGATATTGTAGTAACTTATTATGAGAGAATTAGTTCGATTCAATCATGCAGAAAATTAGATATGTATTCAATACAGGGTGACTCATGAGGAACTGTAAATACGAATAGAGGCCCTGGAGAGGACCTAATGGCCATCAGAAAGTGTATATTCCTCTTCTTTATCAATATATATAGGGTGAATTTTGAGATTTCGCAAAAACTACGAAGCCCTGGAAGGAACACATGAAATTAAATAAATTAAACTCTTCTAAATTCTGAGTTATAACTAGGAATTTTAAAATTCCGACTTATATCTCGGAATTTTACAATCAAAATTTCGAGTTATAACACAGAATTTCAAAATTCCGAGTTATAACTCGGAATTTCACATCCAATATTCCGAGTTAATTATAACTCTGAATTTTGAAATTCCGTAAAATAGGTCGGAACTAATGTGAAATTCCGAGTTATAACACGGAATTTTGAAATTCTGAGTTATAAATCGGGATTTTGGATGTAAAATTCCGAGATATAAGTCGGAATTTTGAAATTCCGAGATATAAGTCGGAATTTTGAAATTCCGAGTTAAAACTCAGAATTTTGAAGAGTTAATTTTTTTTATTTTATGTGTCCCTTCCAGGCCTTCGTGAAAAACATCGTTTGGTCATAACCTTTCAACAGCTTCTTCGATTCGTCTGATTTTTCCATAGAATATTCCTCTATTAAACCCTAAAATCGACTAACCTATTCAGAATCGGGAAAATCCAGGACCCTTTTTTGAAAAATTTAGATAGTTTAGTTTTTATCGAAAAGTTCATCTTGTATATAGTTTTTGTGAACTGTGACAGGGAATTTTCAAAACACACAAACAAGCATGAAAAATGAAATATTCAATGTTCTCCTTACACTTTCACAGAGTTTTTCAAGAAACGGCGATAAATGGTCCATGGAAAAAATCAGATGAATCGATGAAGCTCCTAGAAAGTTATGACCAAAAGATGTTTTTACCAAATCTCATATTTCACCGTATGTATTGGAGAAGAAGTGTTGAAGACACTTTCTGCCTTCTCGAATTTTCAAATTTTGATGAAAGAATCTAAATCTCCGACCCGGAAAATTCCCAGATGCCGAGTTTGAATAAATCGGATTTCAAAACTCGTCCGCCATAATGAAATCATAATCCCGATAGATAACAAAGTGTAATAGACCGATTGAATTAGCTCTTCAGAATGAATATGAAAACGCAATAATATATACAGATGAGGGTGTTATATTATTCGAAATAACGAAGTTTTTGCTACATTTTTGATAAGATATATATATGCGGCAACGCCGCAGCGCTGAAAATATGTTTAAATCGATTGAGCAGAACTGATTACCCAAGACATTGAATTCTCAAAATAATCCGATGGTCTGTTCTCCAGTAGTTGTATGAAGAAAATCGTTACCGATAATAATGCGTCAAAATATGGAAAGTTAGTGAATTGGACGTCCTGTTTTCGAATCCGAAATGAATTTGAACCTATCTCTTGATATTATTTAAAGGACATCTGTGTAGTTCCACGGCTGTTGATGAGCAGTGTATATCATTGAAGATGACCATACCACAGTAGAGAGCTTAAGCTCTCTACTGTGACCATACTTATTGGTCATAGAGTACATTTTTGGTATATCTCTCGCTTCAGCAAATTTCAGGATCCTAATAACCCAAAGATTCCGTAAGATACTGGGGTGTTTCCATGAAAAGTGAGATAAAAATGGAATTTTCAGAACTGAGAATTTTTCAGGAAATATATGAATAGTTAGTGAATTGGGCGTCCTGAATCTGAAGTACTTTCCAACCTATTTCGACTCCTAATATCATTTTCCGGAAATCGGGGTGGTTCCATGGCTGTTGGCGAGCAGTGTATATCACTGAAGATGACCCCACTTGGTCATAGAGTGCAATTTTGCTATATCTCTTGTTCTAGCAAATTTCAGGTTCCCTACCCAACGAATACGTAAGATACAGGGGTGTTTCCATTATAAGTGAGACACACTGTACAGTGGAATTGATCATTCTAGAACACGTGATTTTGACATGGTTTCTTGAGGGGCACACAAACTATCTGTTAGATTACATTTGATGAGCATAGCCCTGGCCATCCCTGCCACATCCACAATATAATAACAGTTTCACCAAACAAAAATATGGAATTCTTTCTGGTTCCAACTCGGATTCCAAGGAAAACGATCCCACTTATTCTGGTTTTATATGACAAATCTTGACAAAATACAATGTTTGCCCCTCAGCAATCTGTCAAATGACATAATTCTGGAATGATTAATAGGAATGAAGGAAATTTATAATTTGTATATAATATACAACTGATAATAGTACACCTATTGGAAACGTCTGAAAATCATGTCAGTGTGACGTACCAGTTTGGTGAGCTTTGTCATTCAGAGAATTTCGTCAAAAATTAGCTATTTACATTTTTTTGAGAGTGACAAAGGATATACGTAACTATCAACAAAGTGAAACTGAATTCGCCATCATGCATCCTTTACATTGTTATCAAACTATTCTTGGTTTAAAGAAAAAATAAAATAACACCAAGTCGGTAGACCACAAAAATATATTTTTGTTCTCGACCGACTTGGTGTTATTTTATTGTTTTTTCTTTGAAAACATCTGGACCACTTTGAGAAGGATGGATGGTTTTCATGATTTTTTCTTATTGGTTTATTATTACATCTCGCCGACACAAACTATACTTACATTATTTTTGTGACAAATATGAGTAACTAATCTCATTCTGATAGAGATGCGTACTAAAGAATAGCGCTGATGCTGAATAGACAATTGAATGAACATGACACCGGAAGGACCATATCAAGCAGTCTCAACAATGCATATATATAATCAATATTAGATGTCATCAGAGGTCAGTGGTGTTTATATATTATGTTCGAGAAAACTCTTTCACGTTTTATCATCAAAGAACGTCATTTCGAAGTCACCGTTAGGAGAGTGATAGACGTCAATAAACGTGAGTAATATGACGTCATTGGGCTGAGACTTATTCGCGTCACGACTATCCTCTGTCGTACGTCACCTTGATCATTCAACTGACGTAAAAATATACGTCACTGAAACGTCATCTGGTTGCCTGGGAGGAACGATGTAAACTATATCAGTAGTTGATCCAGTATTTGCAAGAACTCCTTATTCCTTTGTAGGACACTTCACTCCGTTACTCTACATCTGTGAATGCCATTCCAGATAGATCCATGAACTAATTATTATTATACATATGGTGATTTCAAAGATGAGTTATTTATTTTCATGTACTACCTATATACTTTCCCATTCATTGAATACAGATCGTAGTTCTATTGTTCTTTGAAGATTTCTTTTTAAAAATAAACGACTTTCATCGATTCACTAAATATTTTTTTCTATGACTGTTGAAAACTAGACCCTTTTAATGTAAAATTTTTGTTGGGTAACTGGATGCATTACACAAAACAAGCCACGCCCCGTGTGTAAGAGCCTTTTCACAACAGGCTATGGCCAATCAGCAACAAAGCAGATTCATTACCTACAAAACAGTTGACACCAGTTGTAATGATAATATGGGGCATGCAGTGAAACGTTTGAATCAGACTCGTCATGAAATGTCATAATTTGACAATAGCTATCTGGCGTGATTTAGAACTGATTTTTTGTACAAATATGGATTCAGAAAGCGAAAATGAATTCAACTGCTCTCCACCATCAGAAGTTTCGAAAGCTGCCAATTCAAGTACAATCAGCCTTTTGCCCGAGGAATCTAAAAAAAGGTATGAAGTGGTTTGGCGGAAAGCAAAACTTGCAAATTCGTTTTCGGATAATGTACTGCTAGCCTATTTTGACGAATTACCAGCTAAACACAAAGCATCCTCCTTGTGGTCACAGTATTCCATGCATATACTAAGAAGCACAATTTCAATGGAAAATTATGTGAATATATAAAAAGGAAATCTGATCGATATATGTCAAAGAAAGCGAAGATATTCACTGCTGATGAACTCAACCAGTTCATCACTCAGTCATAGAAAAAGTATAGTATTCTACTTGCGTGTAATGGCTATTACCCATTCGAATGATTACGACGTTCGCCTGCGGCTCACGTCGCAAACTTCATTCTCATGAGTAATGGCCATCATTACACGCTCGTCGAATAATATACTATATTCGATCATGTAGTACCTCTATAACATGACAATAAGTATCCAGGATGGGCATCAGGTTGAGGGATTTTCATAAGCATATTTCCTTTTTTTCTTTTTTCTCAACAACTATCGATATTAGGTAGATATAAGTACAAATATTTTTTGTTCATTGATTTAAATCCAATATGTTCCCTAAAGTACAAGCCTTTCATTGAATATACAGATTGTTTGACTTCAAGCAAAAAATTTTTTCAATCAAGATCACATTTCTACCTACCAGGTACTTGATTGAAATATATGACTTAAAAATAGTTATCTCAAGCCAAATTATTTGAATGTCTTCAATGATGTCTTCAATATGTGTTCTCCTTTTAACTCTCAACAACATTGACATGTCGTTTATCTCGCTGCATTTCACTTTATATCAGTGTAATAATCTTTGTTTTTCAACTCCATAACAGTCAATTCAGCGGCCTGAAGAATAAAGCAATGATTAATTAGTAGACTGCTCCACATTTGGAGTGCGCACAACTAAAACATTTGATTATTTTCATATCGTCATAGCTTTGAAATGTTCATTTAATATAACATCCGTTTTTTATTCTTCACCGTATTACCTACACCCTACAGGAATGCATCATATCTGAAACATTTCAAAAGTATTAGGTCACCCCGTTGGGAGGAAATATTCTAAATGACTTCTAAGGCCACACTGAATTTTGATATATGTTCAACAACCATAAAAAATAGCAGTACTATACTGGAGTGACAATACGAAAAACAACATTTTATTCATAATGATTACCTAACATTCACCTCATCACCATTGAAAAATTGACCCTGCATGTTTTTCATTCAATGATGTTGACACCTGTGTTAAGTCATGATCATCACAACATTCTTGTCATTTCTCATTGAATTTCATGAATTTGTCCACTCGATCGCAATGATCATATTTTTCTGAATTGACTTTGCAGTGACTTGATGAATCCATTGATGTAAAAAACTTCCAAAATAACAATAAGATTTCCACAAAATTCTGGAAAACAGGACGTTTCCCTAACACAGTAATTTCTTCAATTGGAATAGTCGTTCTATGCTCGTACAGTAAATCAATAATGTTCTGGATATCGAATCCTTTGCAGTTGTTTACATTTCCAAGATCATACTCTTGTTCTGGATAATTTGGATAATTATTGCAACCCAATGAAAAGGAAATAACAATCCGTAATCTATATTTCGGTTTTAGTTGTTGTATAAATCCTACTCATTCTGAAAGACCAATACGAAAACAAAAATGCATCAAGCTTAATCTTATTTGTGGCATAGAAGATATCTGGATATCAATCCTGCCAACAGGCAGCTTCGAACTTTTCGAAAATTATCGGACTTTCATCAAATAGCATCCTATAGTTGATAACTTCGAAACGGTGTGCTGAAGAAAACGATGATAAATCTAAATTAATTGCATGATGTATCAGAAACTCCAAACGGGTTTGACCGCATCCGAAGTTAAGACGGTTTGAAAATAACTTGAATTTTCTCACACTTCAAAAGTTCAGCAAAACATTCTTACATTTCGAACTGTTTCAATCGAGTCATAAACGAGTGCTTCTAGTGTGTCTCTCACGTCGCTATTCCAGAACATTTTGAGGAAGTTTTCTCCGAGATTCTTGTTCATCAACAGTAGGACATAACAACTCCTTTCTCTCAATAACGAGTCGGAATGTCGGAGTAAATCGACGAAGTTTATTCGGCATACTTCCTGATTGTCGGATGACGGAGTAACCAGGATATTTTCCACCACTTCACTATTTTCCGGTAATTTCCTCAAGATCTGTGTCATTATTGCCAAAATGTCTGCGACAATTCTCACTTTATATTTGGCTAGAAAGGAAACAAACAATCACTTAGGAAAAATCATAATTATGTAGTAGATTTTTCAGTTTCAGTTTGAAAGCAATGAAGAAAAAAATGGGCGTATCTGCATAGATACATAAAGGTGATAGCCATTGTCATATGGTTATGTATGAATACATCAGAGTTACATAAATTACGTTGCCATCATTTAAAATTGTTTGTGTTGATGTCACCTTTGACAAAAAATAATAAAAATACAATGAATGACTAATGTGTGTCCATAAAATTATGATTACATATACATATCAACAATGATAATGTTGATGTGTCTTGTGAATTGTATCCTTAAAACTGATGATAATGAAAAGGGTGGCATCATATCCACATCTTTCCTAGGAAATTCAGAGATGATAAAACAAAACCTTATTTTTGAGATACCATTAATCAAAAATTCGCATCAAAAAATAAAAATCGACGAGTCCGAGCATCTTTTTTTTTTCAACTAGCCACTCAAAAAGAATTTGGACATCACTTCTGTGGAGCACTGTATATTGTGAATTGAAAACGAGATATATTTCTTGCCGATGTAATCGAAGCTGTTCACTTTCACATGATTGCTCCCTGTCAGAGAAGGATGCTGAAGAATAACTACAAAAATATATAGATGCTGAGAAATACTTCGAATTATCTGTCGTGGATTCCCAATTTCTGTACCGTTGAACTGAACATCGATTTTTACAAGTCACATGAAGAAATTTAAAATGGATATAGAATCGCAGGAAATGGGATTAGACGACGAAATTGTCGAGAAAGATTATTGGAATTCAATTGCAGACCTGCATGAAGCTTCTCAAGCACGAAAGTGGTCAAGAAAATTGATTTCATATCAAGGAATTTTTTAATCAGCTCAAAAATGTTTTATTGATTCTTTTAAAATAAGAGTGAACCGGAACAGGAACCTCGCTGGTACTTTTCCAATATACAGGGAATAAATACCAATTATTATTTTCCTCATTCAAACTCTAAAGAGGTTCATGGTGTACAGAATTCAGAATTAGAAACCATTTTTGAAGCCAATAGTTCTACACTGTAGCAATATTAACGTCATCACCGTACATTGTCTTGAGGTGGTGTGAAACAAAACAAAACAGAGATATTTTTTTGCATGTTCTATAAGCGAACTTTGAACTTCTTTTGTGAAAGCTTATTTAAGTCCATATAAAGCTTTATTAGGTAAGCAAATATTATTATCATCTTCATATCCTTCTGGTACATACATATAAACCTTTTCTTCTAACTGGCCGTACAGAAATGCAGTTTTGATATCGAATTTCTTCATTTAAAATTATTGAAAACAACAGTTTTGATTTGTTTTTTGATTTTGAAGAACATTCTCAAAACGAATCAATAACAGAATCACATCATCTGTCGACAATACCAGAAAATCACATAGTAGAACACGAAGATTCACCACAAGAAGAAATTAATATAATGAATGAACAAACATGAAGGCACTGATTTATCAGAGAAAGACGAAATCAACACACAGTCAATACCTGAAAATCAAGGACGAAATATCAGATCAAGAAGATTACCAAGAAGATTCGATGACTATGCTATGCTCACTAATCATGAAGCCATAAACAATTATGATAAGTTAAAATGGAAACAAGCAATCCAAGACGAGAAAAATTCCCTGGAGAAAAACAAAACATGGACTTTTGTAGATAAATCAGACGTCAAAAATAGAAAAATTATGACAAGTAAATGGATATTCAAAGTGAAAGATGATGGTAGATATAAAGCAAGATTAGTTGTACGGGGTTTTGAACAAAGCTATGGTGTAGTAATATTTAATTCATGTTCTCATTTGTAATCCAATCGCAAATGAATTAGTATCGTTAGATTCGTTAAAATATCATTTTTTCGGAAAGTGATTGTCAAAAGATGGTCGCCAGTTGAAAAATAATAGTTAGACACGAAAATGTAATTTTGCCAACTTGTCTTATTAATATCTATCATACTTGTCACTGAAACTTCGCGATTGTAATTGTCTGATAACACCTGAGGTCCATAGATTAGTTTACTTCCGATCATGGCCACCCAGATGTAATTTCAAAAGTGACTCCGAAAAAATTGAGTAGGCATAAAAACTTTCGAAAATGTCACATTCTGATCTAGAATTGTCTCAGAAATCAAAAAATGTTACAATATACAGGGTGTTCCATTTAAAAATTTAGAACCGGGGCCATTTCCGGTGAAACCGAAAGTGACCGGGAAGTGAAAAATATGTGAAAACTCTCCTCTTCACATACCATTTACCAATACCAAATCTCATTTTGAAACACCTGATGGTCTGGAAGTTATGACTTGTCTAATAGATTCGTTGACACCTGGTATACACGCTTCGTCAACAAGATGTTATTCTTTGATAATGAAGCATATTTTAATTGATCGATTATCTTTCTCAAACCAACATCAATACTGTTCGCTGAATAATTTTTTGACGTCATACTTACAAATCATGCACAAAAACGTGTTCAACAAGTGGTAAACAGACAGAACCACCACCGCATCACAGAACTGCATCAGAAAGTCATCGTCCAGATGGACCAAATGCGAAATGAGTAGGAAAATATACTCCAAGGTCTGCATGTCTTCGGCGTTCAACTCCGAGAGGGACCTACAAGTAGGGTTGGGACGATTGTGATGTCCAAATGGAAATTTCCAATTTGATAGTTTCAAAATCGAAATACACTCATCGGCAAAAAAACAGGCTACCAAAAATATTCGCGAAATTAATCTCCCGGTTATTCTTGTCCGATTTTGGTGAAAGTCCGATCAAATCTTATAACGAATTCCATTGCTAAAACTGGCTCGCACTGATTTTGTATTTAATTGGTGAAACTGGTGTCGGGTTTTGAATTCCGTTGGAAAACTGGTTCACATAGTTCAGAGCTCAGTGCATTAATTCTCGCACGAGCTCTAATAGGTCGTGCGAAGTCAGTGCTGTTTTGAAAATGGCGGAAACATAGAATATGAATAGATTGAAAACCAAATTATTAGTGGCAATCTTATCATCATCATCAAATAGTATTTTGCAAATTCAATGATGAAGAGGTACTTATTGAAAAAAGTGCTCAAAATTATTTCCATGAAACATCTACTTTGTTTTTAATTGAAGTTGAGAAAGAATTTCAGGATGCGGACAAGTTATACAAAGACAATAGTTATTTATACCAAGGTAGTAAAGAATATCATTATTACCCAGGGACCAAGATTATATCCCGAGGCTACCAAGGTGTATATTGAATTTTTTCACCACTAGCAATATATTTCAATCATAGTTCTGTGAAACTGAACTGTCTTCATTAAAGCACCCCTTCTCAATTCTAATTGAAATCTAGTCACCATGACAAGATAAGACAAGTCGTTATTGATAAATAACGAGTAGATTCGATTGCCATTCCTGTGAATATCACATCAGAACAGTGAATTCAGAAATGGCTATGTCTCTATTGACTAGTGGTGCATAATATGACGAAAACTTCCTTGGTGGTAAACACACACTTTACATCTCCATAAGGAGTAAATGATGGTAGGATCTACAACTAGTGGTGGAAAAACCAACTTATTCGATTTAACCTCCAACAATAATTATATTATATTATTTCGTATCTCATTGGGAATGCACCAGTTCAAATTCTGGAGAGAACTAACGTAGTGCGGGTGTCAGAATTGTTTGCACAGCTCACTTTACCACAGCGAAAAGGTTCATCAACCATTCGCAGAACCGAGACAAAGGGCTAGTCAGCCTCAGCAAACCAGAGCTAAAGCTTATCACAGGCTTTCTCACAGGACACGACCCTCTGAGGTACCACCTCGAAAAGATGGGTCTGGCGGAGACTGACACTTGCCGCTTTTGTAACAATACGACCGAAACCGCGGAACACATACTTTGCTCATGTGAAGTATTAGTCCGTCAAAGGCTGAACCACCTAGAACAGGTCTATCTCAGTCCTGCTGAGGTGGAAAATCCAACCGCCAGGAAAATTGTAGGCTTCAACAGAAGCCTAGGGTTAGAGGACCAAAACTAGATAAGGGTGATCACAATAGATCTTCTAGGTCGCAGTGATCGAGAGGTCTCCCAATCTACAATCTTACCACAGCTCATGAATTAATAGTGAAGAATAAAATTAGCCCTCAAACATTTCTAAAACCACAGACAAGTTATTTTGTCAAACCAACAAATCTATCGATAGTTAACCTAATTCGACTCCAATGATGTTGATCTTTGAAGATTTTGAATTACGAGTTCAATAAAAATGCCTCAAAATGGAGCTGAATATTTCAGAAAATAACAATAAAACATCTGTCAAATCTAATGCGCGCTCGTAAAAAGTAGATCACTTTACTCGTTTTTCCCTGCTCTTTTCAAATATTGAAACAGATTTACAAAATTTTGCCATACTTTTTAATAGAAGCAATTTTTTGTTTTTCCTCAAGACAAACCTGGATCCTGATCCCAATTTTCATTGAGTTTTGATGGAACATATAAGTGAAATATCTCTACTCAGTATGGATAGATTATACGAAGTGGTTCAAAAGTTATGACCAGATGAAGAATTTGATAAAATCAAGATAACGTCCTGTATCTCGATCATAAAAGACGATAGACACATCCATGGGGGATGATTTGAAACCACCAAAGTGTCCTCTATCTACAGGTGTCGTATGTACATTTAATTCTGAAACACCCTGTGTTTCACTTCGATCCGAAACATGACGGTTTTTTCTACCGGTGAATGTATTTCAAGAATATTTCAAGCGAAATTTCATTTCATAATCAAAAGTGAAATATTTCAAACCTCACCTACAAGTATAGGGGCAATTGGGGGAAGGGGAGTTGGCGGGGGAAGGTGATTCGGAGGGGGTTCCTCCACGATTCACGCGGAAGAGCAGCTTGGTCGCGTACACCAAATTCGGCACCAACTTCACTTCCAGGTATACCTGGAAAAAAGTGTTGAATTGAATGAAAGAAAAAGTGCTTGTTGTTTTCTGGTTCTAGATGACTTCACTTCCTACTGTACAACCATCGTCGTTATAAATGAAAACCTAGTTAGTAGGCGATAGGTCTGTTCATTGAAAAAGATAATATAGGCTAAAAATAGCCGCCCCTACCACAGTATATTATCCATAAAAGATATCCATAGGTAAAGGATAATATACTGTGCCCTTACTGATAACATTCGGAGTAAGCTAAACTCAGTCACTCATGTTCATGTCGTGATCCACGTTTCTGTCAAGTTTTTAATACAAAATTTCTCATGTTCAAACATTTCAAGAACTTACACGAATAAGAAAAGCAGGATACGTCAAGTAGAAACAGTTATTTATGCTTTATCTATCTAATATATTTAATTCTTCTGTCCCTGTCACAGTGTTTGTTGCCAGACTCCTCCGAAACGGTTTGGCCGATTCTTATGAAAATTTTCGTGCATATTCGGTAGGTCTGAGAATCGGTCGTGAACTATTTTTCAAATTGAAAATTCAAGATGGCAGATCCGATATGGCGAACGAGTTTGGTAATCCGATTCTATTAAAAACTGGTATCTGGGGGTTTTCGGGGTCGGAGTTTATGATTCTTTCGTCAAAATATGCGAATTCAAGATGACGGATCCAAAATGGCGGACGAGTTTTGTGAGTATGGTCCGATTTTATTCGAAATTGAAATCTGGGAGTTTTCGGAGTCGGAGCATATGATTCTGCCGTCGAAATTGGCAAATTCAAGATGGCGGAACCAATATGGCAGACGAGTTTTGTAATTATGATACAATTCTATTCAAAATTGGAATCTGGGGGTTTTCGGGGTCGGGATAATGTTTGTCTGTTAAGATTGGGAAATTCAAGATGACGGTTTTTTAATTTTATTCCGATTCTATTCAAATGGGTATCTGGAAGTTTTCGGGGTCGGAGATTATGATTCCTTCGTAGAAATTGGCAAATTCAAGATGGCGGATCCAATATGGCAGACTAGATTTGTAATTATGATCCGATTCTATTCAAAATTGGAATATGGGGGTTTTCGGGGTTAGCAATTTTGATTCCTCTGTCACAATCCAGGAAAACAGAAATTATCAACGAAAGTAGGTCAACAGTCTGGAGAAACGTCAACCTAGTTGACTCAACGCCACCAAAACTCAAGCATGTATTCCTTGAAAGTGTCAAACTCAGTATGCCTGATCCGAATGGTACCACCATTCCCACCACATAGACCACAATATCTATGCTCAGTACCTTTATCAGTGATACTCTCTCACCGGAGAATTCAATTCAGTGTTCGGCTAGTTTATTGTAGGAGTATTCACTTAAAGAGCTACTGTGTTGCAAAACATGTCTTGGAAATTGTGGAAGTTTTATCTTTTTCGAAATCTTTATAATTGTTGCTGTGTATTTCTATCAGGTAGGTAAAGATCCAGTCAAATGAAAACAATAATAATTATCTTCAAAAACGTTCCACATACAATTGGAACAATATTTTCTGTAGGTACCCAGTCTGTACCCAAGTATGTACCTCAATTCGGCCTGTCCGTTGGAAGGAAACAAGAGTAATCAAGTTGATGAGGCCCTAGTATTCATTATATTACCTTCCTGACTTGTTGTAGAGATTCTTCTGAAACACCTTTAACCACGAACGGTATAGATAGCAATCTGGCCACAAAACTTAATACTTTTGAACTGGCATTGGGGTTTCTCAAAGGAGATACCAACACGTTGGTCTGGCCAGATTGCATGAGCGATCCTAGTTCACCATTTATGACTTCCTGAATGGTACGTTGTAGAAACACAATCCACTCTTCAGTCTCAATAGGTTGGTTATCTTCGATAAATCCGATGGTCTTACTAGCATCTAAAAATAGTATTTTGAAATCAAGAGGTGCGAAATTATCGAAATTCAAAGCAGGGAATAGGAACTATTATTTTTGAGAGCATGACATTATCAAATAGAACAAGCAAACAGTTCAAGGAATAAAAAAATGTCTAATATACCATCTGATAGGTCTTTCTAAATATTGCATATTGAAAAAATGATGAATCGTCCTTTTTTGCTGAGACACTGTGAATAAAACAGTGAGAGCCAATCACCCAAACTTTGAATTTCTTTCCTGACTGGTCATAGACAGGCGCTTTGTAAAATGATTAAATATATCAGTCACTATATATCGATCTAACACTAAACTATATCTGACCATTACATCTTACCATCCACTCTGGAAGTGTTTCCACCCATCACCTTAGTAAAGCTATGATCCAAACTATCTCCAACAGTTTTCTTTGAGTCCTGTGATGTGATAGTCAGTTTTTGTAGAGTATTTGTGACATCCAACTTTTGAGGGTTATCAGATCCCTTCAAATCAGGAGGATTGTTCAGATTTTCTTTCTCACTTTCTTCGCAAATGGGGAGTGATCCTTCTACTATATTATTATTCTTGGTGTCCTGAATAATTGATTTTTTAATCGTTTCGTCAGTAGAGGAGTTATGTGACGTTTTGCTTATTTTTGACGAGTTCGATTTTGTCTGAATAGATGGTTGTTCTGGAATGTCTGTACTTTTGGTGGACAATGTCCTGAAAAAAAATTGCCTACCTATACTTCAAGAGTTACCAGAATTCAATGAGATTCACACTCTGATTTCCAGGTATCTTCTAATGTTTTTCTTGGAGAGAATGATATTCAAACAAATAAAGCTTTGATAGTGTTTGGATTGATCCCATCAAATTTTGGCCACTCTGTGGATTGAGCTCCTAGGTTCGAAACTCCAATGGAAAAATTCCATCAGTTCCACTTATTCTGAGGAAAATTAGTCAACACACTAATACCTCATCAACTGGTTTCAATCAACAACCCATTTCATTTTGCGGAAACAAAAATTCCATCCATACAAATTCAGAATATGTCAAGCGCTAAAACCAGGCGACGACGAAAGGCGCAAGACATTCTGTGAGTGGTATACCAGGAAATGTTAAAATTTTGCAGATTTCTTTCGAACAATCATCTGGACTGATGAAAGCATGGTCACTAATCATGGTAGCTTCGATAGAAAAAATACACATTATTGTTCACGAGAAAATGAACATTTATACATTACAGCGAGACACCAACACCGTTTCGGCTTTAATATGTGGGTTGCAATATTTGGTACACGAATTATTGTTCCTTCTATTTACCATGAAACACAGACTTCTGAACGTTATAGAAATTCGCTTGAGAATCATCTTGAAGAAGCTCTGGATGATTTACCGATTGCGGAAGTTCAGAACTGTTGGTTTCAACAAGATGGCGCTCCGGTACATAATTCCAGAGGAGTCCGTGCGTTTTTATCCCTTGGCTGGCGCGGTCGCCTGATTTGACACAGCTGGATTTTTTCTTAGTGGATTCATCGAACTTTGTACACGCAAATAACTTTGATGATGAAGAAGAACTAAGGGACAGTGTCTTCGAAGCATTCAATAGAATAACCCCAGAAATGCTCAGCAATGTCTTAGAAGCAACTGTGAGAAGAGGATATCTTTGTTCAGAAAATAATGGTTATCATTTTGAACATTTGTTATGAATGTCTCTGTAGATATTGTCAAAGTTAAGTTGTTAAAGTAATTCGTGTAAGAATTCATCAACAATTTTAAACGCTGCATTGATCGAATGATGTAGTGAAATATTTTTTATTCACTTTTCAGTATTGGATACCTAATCCATCAAGTTTGACACTAAATGATAAGATATAAGTGGAACTGATGGCTTTTTTCTTTTGGAAGTTCGAAAAAACATTGTCGAAACACATTCGAAACACATTTGAATCACCTTGTATAGTACATTGTTGAATTCAGAATAAAAAAACCTTTCAGAATCTGTGAAAAAATTATCAGGACCGTATTTAAAAAACAAAAGTTGATGATGGTTCCACGAATACGAAACGTCGCATAAAAAAATCGGTATCACCACGTTTAACCTCATCAAAAGTTGCAATGAAAAAGTATTTTCAGTTTTTCTGTATCTCTGATAATAACGGAGAAAAAAAATAAAATAGAAATTCCAAAAATTCACTTTTTTCGATATAACTCAAAAACGAAAAATAACTTTTGAAATTTTCGAAGGGTTTTGATATGAGCCTCCGAATGCGCAACTTTTTCTCCATTCAAACGACTTCGTATCTCCTACCGTTTCCGAGATCCCCATGCTGTTCAACCTTGGACAGACTGTATATAGTTTTTATATCCTGGATTATAATTCGCCATTGTATGAACATCTTTCAACCTTCCACAGGTAGTTAGGTGATAAGAATTATAAAACATTTGCACTTGCGCTTTTTCCATAGCCATCTACTAATCAGGTCCACATCTTACATAGTCAATAAATAGTGCTGAATATTGGTAAATGTTCAATGTTGGTGAAATTGATGTGTGTGACGAAACTCTGTGTGAGCAACAATGTAGATATGGAAATTTGTAATATTTGCAATATTGCCACATATATTTACATAGCGGATCAATAAGAAACAAACTGGGAAATTGAAAATTATCTAAATTCAAGGCTGATACTCAAAATATCGAATAAGTGTGAAGCATCATTATTTTGAATATAAGAAAAACCTATATCTAAATAATTTCAGCTAATTTGGATGGTCCCAAAATGCAACATCTTCAATTTTGCCCTGTATCTCAAGAACCGAGTCAAAAACGAAGCAGCATGAAAATTTTGTTTACAGTATTGCTAGTTTCACAAAAACTCAGCCAACACTCGAGACAACCGCAAATCTTTATCTTTGAAATTAAGTGAGACAGAACATCGAAAATGAGTCATCTGTTTGATACAATGATAGTTGGGTTATTTAAATATATATATAGTTCCCAAAATTTTTAGATTCCTTTCCTTCACTCCACCTTGGTCTTCATCCATGTATAATATGCAGTGTTGACCATGGGAAACATGATAAGTTAATTTTGTACTGCTGGTATTTTACCAGGGAAATAGTACCCTATACAAGACCAAGCATGGATGCATACTGGGTCACTGATGACAGATATGGGAAAATACCATATGAGGCCACTAAATGCCCCATACCAAAATGTTTCTTGGGTTTGAATGTCAAAATGATGGCCAAGAGATCATGAGGTTTTATCAAGACATTTCATTATATTGCAAATAGTGGTTATTTGAAATATCATATGGACACAAGTATTTATATTACAACCATGTGTACATTCGAAATGTGAACAAAATTTGCCAAATTACAATGGAACAACAAAAATGTAGTATGTTGATTTATAATGGGTAGATCTGAAGTTTTGAAGCTAGTAGTAGAATGGAGTATATACTGCTAGATGTCTACACTTATTCAAGATATACTTGCCATCAGGGACGCGCCTATACAGGGGCAACTGCGTGCACCGCACACGGGCGGCCACCCTCAGGGGCGGCCAATCACGAGATACTAAATACTTCGTTATTTTGAACATAATATTACTCTGTACACTATGAAAATCCTCGTAATAAAATGTCAATCTCATTCAGTATATCAACAACGACTTGACACTCAATAATAGTAGAAAAATAAGAACAAACGACCTCTCTTACGCTGATGGCCCACAGGAGTCAGGACAAGGTCAGGACGATAAAGGCACGATTTTCCGCGATATACTACCATCGAGTATTGAATGTCGTCGCGGGGTTTTTTAGCCATTGGACTATATTCCATTATACGAAAATTTGGTCTTTTCAATCCATCTGTTCCATAGTGATATGGCATGAAATTTTGCTTAAAATCAACATCTGTTGTTGAGATTGGTTTACTGCATTCAGATCCGATCAAAACTATGTTGAAAGATTCTCGGACAATAGCTGATGATTCAGATATCGAAACAGACTTTCCAGAACCTTCTAGAAGAAGAAAGAGACCAAAATTGTTTTTTTATGAGGGAGATGATGATTATCAGATTGACGACCAACAACTCCGATCCAAAATAATTTTTTTTTTGCCATCACCGACCAAATAACATGTTCTCTCAATGGACGATTCGAGTCTCTCAACAATTATAATTAATGTTTTGGATTTCTTCATTTAGATTTTGGTTAGTACTTTGATGAAACAAGTTTACTCGGAAGTAAGAAAGTTAACAAATGAAGATCGCCAGGAAACAGATATAGACGGAACAGATTTATTTAATGAGTTAAAATCATTGAAAGTGATTTATCATGAAAGTGATCCACAACAAATTTCAAAGTATATTATACATGAAAACAACTTAATGAGCTGCTTTCCAAATATCTCAGTCGTTCTCCGAATTTCATTAACTTTACCCGTGTCAGTTGCTAGTGGAGAAAGGTCATTTTCTAAGGTGGAGATAATGAAAAACTATTTGAGGTCTAAAATGAGCCAGGAAAAATTGATTGACCTTGTTTCAATATCCATCGAATCCGAATTATTAGAAACAATTGATGTTGACGTGCTCATCAAAGAATTTGCTCAGCAGAAAGCGAGAAAAATAATATTTTTTTATTGATTTTCACTGTGATTTTATCGCCCCTCCATGTGTTATTTTCAAAGTATTACCTGAACCTCATATGTTAATGAATCAATGTTAATTTTGTATGAATTTTACTATTTGTATAAATTATTTGTTATGTTACTTATGTTTATTTATGTTATATTATGTTCCGTGGATGAAATCATCTCTTGAAACATCTCGAAACGAGTTAAATATATTATTTGTTACTTTCCAGTTGTCAAAATATATCAGTTTTCAAAATTCGTTTTATTTTCAATTTTCGCAAGGGCGGCCCAAAACATATTGCACACGGGCGGCGAAGTGTCTAGGCGCGCCCCTGCTTGCCATTGTCATATCAGAGGGATTTTAGGTGTATCCATTTCCATCTTGACATTTCATTACAAAACTTCTGGTTTTATTCCAATTTTTAGTTTGAAAATATGAGATATAATTTAATTGGACAGAAAATACATAATACAACAGTTATCAACAAAAAATCATAGGGCATCTTTGTATTAGAGATGATTTTCTGCATCATGGACATAGTTGTTTTTTGGTGAGTCAACCAAGAAACATATTTTCATCAATTCAAAACCAAGTGAATTCAGATAATGATAAATTTATAACTATTTCTCAATAAATGTTATAGAGAATATAGGTTCTCAAAATTAGATATATTATTTTTTGTACATAACAGATATAATTCAATATCATGTGGTAGTATTAGCCAGGAAAGTAGTTGATTTCTGTCAGCTATTCAATCAATGGTTATTTAATTTTTGCAAATTAGGGTTTTTCAATATTTGAAGATATAATTCAATATGCTAGCTTCTCTGTTAAATTAATTAATTCAACAATGTTATATCTGAAGAAAAAAAATTATAATAATACTTTGGAACAAAACATTGAATCAAACTATGATGAGACACAAAACTTTTGTTAAGTAATACTGGGATGATATGAGGACATGCAAGCCTCAATATAGGTAACAGACTGCTGTTTACAGGGAAGATACAAAATAAAAATACTATTTCTGAATAAATACAGAAACTGATGATGAAAAGAAAAACATATGGATAGGATATCACACACAAACCTATGTCTATTTTTTATGCTCTCCTTTCTTTGTTGTTCCTTAGCTTGGAATGTGGTTGGAGATAGGGGTTTTGTTAAGGGTGCACAAGCAGAATTTTTTGAAATAAGTATATGGCCTTTCACAAACTGGTGATTCAGGATTTCATCCCAGGTCATCCTCTTAGAAGGATTTTTTTGTAGAAGCCCCTGAAATTAATGAATACTTCTAGTACCACAGCAAGAGATGAATATTAAAACAAGGTTCAAGAGCTCAAAAATATGGATCAACATTCTACTGGTGTTGAAAATTATAATGAAATAATTATACTTTTCCATCAACGTTGATATAAATATATGTTTTGTGGTTTAGTTTGAAAAATCAGTTGATTTGATCACAACCAATATTCTCTCCATCTTGATTCTTCAATATACTTGATATCATTTCCTATAATTTCAATGATTTTCACTAGTTTCCATGACTCAGTATTGAATAATCTGGATAATAATACTGCTCTTGTAACATAATATCATTCACTTTTATTGATTGATATATTGTTAAGGGAAAAAAACTACCAAACAATGAACTTATGAGAACTTACCTTCAAAAAGCAAATGCAGCTTTCTGAGGAAAATGTGGGCCATGTTATTTGTTCATGTCTAATCAGTCTTATCAGTTTTAAAATTGATTTGGTGGAAAATGGAGGTGATCCCATCAACAATTCATACATTATGCAGCCTAGAGACCAAAGATCTGCATTATAGTCATAAGGCTGTTCATCAATGAGCTCTGGTGCCATGTATAAAGGTGTACCTGTAATTTAATTTTTTTGATAAAGAAACTGATCAAGTGAGCTCCAGCCCAGTGTAATATAGTGTACCTTTTATTGAAGTCAAAACATGTGTTCCAGTACTCATATTTCTTGCAAAACCAAAATCACATAATTTAGCTCTATTGTTAACATCCAACAAAATATTTTGAGGCTTCAGATCTCTAAAAACATATCAAGTTAACTTTGCAAGATTGTTCATACCTTAGACCACTAATAGGTGCCAATATATACTCTATATCTTACCTGTGTAAAATTCTATTTGAATGCAAATAGAACAAAGCAGATACCAAGTCAAAAACTATCTGTTGGACACGTTCTTCAGGCAAATAACCCATTTTAGCAAATTCCATTGTTAGTGTCATGTGAGCAAATTCAGTGATAACAACTATCTGAAAAATAGAAACTTTATAAAGATGTGGGGATCAGGAAGATTGGATGAGATTTACCTCGTTCTCTGTTTCAAATGAGTCCAACATCTGTATGATGTTTGGGTGATGCAAATGCCTTTGAATTTCGCATTCTCTTCGAAATCCTTTTAGTTCTTTGGCAGATCTTCCTCTCTGAAATTTGGGCAAATTTAGTTTTGACCTGGGTATTAGTTTGATCACCTTACTTTGCTTATCACTTTGAGAGCAACAAAGTGGCCTGTAGATAACTGCTTTGATTTGTAAACACGACCAAATGATCCTTCGCCCAGTGTTCGAATTACTTCATAGTTATCCATATTATTTCATTGAAGTGTTTATATCGTGTATCTGGATCAAATGTATGATTATAATAAGAACATTAAAACCGAAGGGTATTTGAGGTTGTCATCTTGACAAGAACAACACATCAACAAAACTGTAAACAAACAGTGTAAACATAACCTAAACAATACTGTTCAGCAGTGTTGGCATTCTGTGAACATTGTTGCCAACATAAAAGATCTGGTAGTTAAGCGGGTCAAGTGCCTAAATCTTTCGAACCGTTTCCGTCACGTGATATGTTGAGATTCGTGTTTTTTTCATATACGTATTAATAAACAATACGGATCATAACGGGTGCCAGGATGAAGCCAAAAATATGAAACAAATGAATATCCATAAGGATTTGGTGGCATGATACGCATGCGCCATGCGCTATTATAGTAGTCATCAAAGACATGCGTTTCGGTGGACAATGACGTTTACTAGCCTTTCAATCAAAGCAGTATGTGTCTGATCGTTTCAAAACTTTTCCTTATGGATAGTCATTTGTCTTCAAAGATCGGCTTCATGTTTCGCTATGGAAACAGATAGAGATTATCCGTATTGATTATTAATAGGTCGCGTGCACGAAGACCGACCCTGGAGGCAAAATATTGAAACACAACCTCATTCTTCTGTGAATTATTGAAACACAACCACATTCTTCTGTGAATTATTGAAACACAACCTCACTTTTTTATTTGGTTACAGAGGAATCAAAAGGTTGAAATAGTTTTTCACAATATTTTGGCATACGAATCGTGTTTCTTGCGTTATTCATTAATTCAAGCATGCCTTCGCATTGTGCTGTTGTACAATGCACAAAAAATGCAGCAAGAGACTATGGAATATGATTTTTCAGGTAAATAGTAATCTCACATAGTTAGCATTATGAAATGTTGTCATTCCTTATTAAAATTCCTTCTGCCTTCTGCCACTTCTGCAATACAAGCTAATGCTGCTAATAGATTGAAAATGTCTACAACACACACGATCGTCAGCATGTCAGACCAGTCCTACTGATTGATTGCATGAATCCAATCTTCTTGCATTATTCCTAGAAATTTCAGGTATATTTCTATCAGCTGATCCTATTGCAGAAGGAATTCCGATGAGAAATCAGAGAAATAACCAAATTTCAAGAATGAAAACTATGTGAGTGACTATAGGTACTTACTTTTGAATCATAATGTACCATCCGGATTTCTTCATCTTCCGCTGCAGTTTTTGTGTATTTTACAACAGCACAATGTGATGGCATTAGCGAATTGATGAATAGCGGAAAAATACGATTCATATGCCAAAATATAATTGTGGAAAACTATTTCGATCACTTGTAAACAAATATGTTTTGCCTCCAGGGTCGGTCATCTGACAGTTCTTGCACGCGACCTATACGTATATGGTTTTTTTATGATCATTTTCTGCAATGGAATTGTGAAGGCTGAGTTTGCTCAGGGAGTTTTATTAAGGACCACTAATAGCATGGCATCAGCCCACTGCAGTGTTCATTCGTGTAGCGATTTAGGCTATCAAGGATGTTTTTTCTTCCTCTCGAGACCCTGAGGGTTTTGTTTATTGACTGATCTCTGTTTATAGTATATCCAAAATCAATTGCAGAATATCCGGCACGGTGCGGCGTCGGCAGGTTTGAAGTGTCCTTTGAAGTGAGTGCAGATGCGGCACAATAAGACACTCCAATTGTCTTTGGATTAACTATAATAATCTCAAGTATTTCTACGAGTTAATGCGCATTGAGTTCAATGATCACTATATTCACACGCAGACTGGTACCTTGCGAGAAATTCGTGATTTGAAGTTTATATGTAACAACATACGTAAACTTTTATTTCTCATCATTGATGATTGGATGATGATTTACAATTCGAATAGATGGCTGGGACATTCATTTCCCTGATAGCATAATATTTTTGGATGGAAATACCTACCTTTTGGCTCTTTTGGGAATGAAATGTTCTTTCGAAGGTGAAGTTATGTACCTATTTTTCAATTGACTTCTCACATCACAATCATCAAATACCTCAATTTATGATAAAAAAACTGAATGTTATAATTGTATCATTTTACAGTTACATAGTAGGAAGACTATCATAGAAGCTCCCAAAAAAATCACTTATATCTAGATTGGTGAGAAGTGTTATTCTCGTTCTGAATCGTTGTACACTTTTGTTACAAAAACAGTTGAAGAGTCGCTCCACCAGTCAACTTATAAACATCTCAATCTAGTCCAAGGAAATATTGAATTTGGTTGAAGAAACAACATGAGTATTATAGGTAAAAACATTTGGGGGATGACTGTACTCGAGTTGAAGTGTTGCAATGAACGTTGGTAGTGTGAATAATTGTCGGAACACTCTAGTCGACACTAGGGTCCCTTGATGGAAATTGACGTTAAAGTCATCTTAACAGGGTACGGACAGATCCTCGTCTCCTTTCACTCTAGAGCGTTTGTGAAACAGTTATATAGTTATAGTTCCATCCTCATTCGATTCTGGGGATGAACACTAGATTTTTGACATTCGTTGTTTTTTAGGTTATATTGAGGTCACTGGTGTATCATACGTAATTTCCATATGAAATTCCTGATTCAACTATACCAAGATATAGATGAACAATCCTCTAGTTTTAGAGTTTACTACTCCAACATAATCTTTGCGAGGTAGGAAACATATAAATTGTACTGAAAGCTTATAATGTATTTCACCAAAAGAGAGTGTTCTTAGACTGTATACCAGGGTTGACTAAATCAAATGAATGAATTGAATTCTGATTTCAAGCTGAGCAGTAGTTTATCTATGAGCTGAATCAGCAGAGCCTTATGATTGAGAAATGGTGGAAACCTCGATGCGGGTATCTAGACTACTGTAGGTACTCATGTCATGTGTACTAAATATATTTTCGGAAATCCAACTCGGAGAAGAGTTTATGGAGGCTGATGAAAAGAAATACGTGAAATATGAAGGAAAATGAAGAATAGAATATACTTTACTTCATTATTCCGTCTTCCTTGAATAAAAAGTAATTTTCGAATAATTTATTGATGAAAGTTACAAAAAAGTAGGTATGCGAGGTATAACTTATAGGCACGCTATTTTCACTCTTGCATCCTACATATTTTTTATGTGTGGTAGAGTAATAATTATATGAACTAATATCTTTCGCCACATTGAATCCGTCATCTTGAATTCTCCAATTTTTACCATACAATCATTATCTCCTACCCCGAATACCCCCACATACCAATTTCAAATAGAATCGTACCTTCAGTACAAAACTCGTCCACCATATATTGGATCCGCCATCTTGAATATCCCAATTCTGACGAAATAATTATAATCTCCGACCCCGGAAATCCCCAGATACCAATTTCGATTTTTATCGGATCCGCTATCTAGAATTTTCCAATCTTGACAAAAAATCATAAAATTCGACCCCGAAAACCCTCAGATATTAATCTTAAATTTAATTTCCGCTTTCTTCCGCTTTATATTGGATCCATCATCTTGAATTTCCCAAGTTTGACGAAACAATCATTATCTCCAACCCCGGAAAACCCCAGATATCTTCCAATCTTGAATAGAATCGGATCAGAATTACAAGACTCGTTCGCAATATGATCTTCCTCAACGAGTAAATACCCTGTACATACCTATTATTAAAATTTAGAATGATTTTCTGTAGCGCCCATGGATGTGACGTGACAGCAATGTCAGGGATGCCAGTAGACAAAGCTAAAGTCTCTAGATCATTAAAGAAGAATGCAGCTATGATCTGTCCGTACCCTGTTAGATGACTTTAACGTCAATTTCCATCAAGGGACCCTAGTCGACACTAGGGTCCCTTGATGCAAAGTGGCGTAGCTATGGACGGGCAGTTCGGTGCGGTGCACCGGGGCCCCGGGACATTGGGGCCCCGGAGGGGCCCCTATATCCCAATCTGCATTATCAGGTATAATGCAAGAAAGTATTGGTGTGCAAATTAATTCATGAACCCTGTATCTTTTTTAATCCTTTTCAGATTTTTGTGAAATTTCGATCAAATCGTAGATTCATGTTCCGGAATGTTAGTCAAAATATTAGTTTCTGAGAAAAACTGATGACTTGATTATTATATAGGGAAACACCAAAGTTATTATTCCACCCTTTACTTCTTAACGCCATGTGGCAAAATTGAGCTATTGAACTTGGCTTCAATATGCTCTGGATTGAAGTTTGATCCCTTCCTAACACAATGGTCGCTGATTCACGTCAATAACTCGTTTTCAAGAGAATATACGAGTGTTTTAAGAAATTGTGGCATTTTTCAATTATTTTTGACAATAATCAGATCCTACATCAACTTATTGATTAACAACTTGAGGAATCAATATTACTAATTTCTACCTCATTTTTATAGCACTTACCTAAAAAAGCCTCAAATACAAAAAACAAACAAAAAGCAGACCTGTAGTCAATAACCAGTATGCTCTCCTCGAGTTTGAATTACAGCATTTAACCGTCCTGTCATCGAGTTGATCAAATTTCTCAAGTGGACTTGGACTAAACTAACTAAAACTAAAATTCTTCAATTATAGCTCTTGAAGAGTCTCTGACAATGCCGGACGAATGCGAATGAGCCTCTGAAGTTCATTCCTAAGATAGAGGTTTTGAATTATTGTTGACAAAAATTAAAAAATTCCATACTTTCTTCGAACACTTGTATATTTTCTTTAAAAGGAGATATTGACGTGAATCTTGCACAATATGCTGAGGAAGGACGAAAAAGGATCAAATTTCAATCCTAAAACTAATGACGCCAAGTTTAATCACTCACTTTTTCCACAGGGCAATAGGAAGTTAAGGGTAAAATGGTAACTTTTGTTCGTCCCTGCATAATGATCAAACCATCAGCTTGCCTCGGGACCTAATATACAAGAAAATATTCCGAATATGAATATGCGGTTTGGTTGAAATTTCACCAAAATCGGACAAGAATTAAAAAAGTTACAGGGCGAAATTTTATGGTGGCCGTTTTTTTTTGCCGATGAGTGTATATTATGAATGTTGAACTCAACTGTGATTTTACAATATGAAATATTGCTGCCAGATGCGAGACCAGATCATAATCGTCAGTTGAAAGCTCGGTTGGAAGCTAATCATTGCCTGTGGAAGTATTCCCAACAACATATAATCTCCAAAAATTCAAAAAAAAATTCCAATACCTACCTCCTGTCCCTATCCTCCCTAGGAACGCACGATGTTCTTTGAACATTATAGGGATTCCCTTTCGTGCGCTCCAATCGATAAAAAAAAAAAAACCTATGAAAATTTGCGTCCTTATACACCTGTCCTAAATTTTTGATTGTTTTAATTTGGTTGCCCTGTTGGAGTCTTTTTCATGCCACCAGAATCTTGAATTATAAAATGGTACTCATTGATAATAACTGTCAGATTCAAAATACATTAGTTGTTTCAACTAAATACCGCGTTAGATTGAAATTTCTGCAAAAGTCACTGCATGATACAAACGGAGGTGAGGCGATGGACAAATAGCTTCAGTCAGATTGCAGAGAACAAGCGGAGGTATCAGGTGGCTGCCATGGCTCGTCAACATTTGCAAATACAATTCTTAAACTTTGTCATTTCGTGACTTCATTCGAGAGAACAGAAAAATACTTAGGTACATTCAGTTGTTTTCATTGGAAATTAAATTAACTGATGAGGCTACTAGATTCATACTCAAGAGACAAATATATTCGATTCTCATTTTGAACTTCTAAACCAGGCAGGTTGACCTTGAAATTTCGAAAAGAATTGCCTGAAGCGCAATTTTGTTCATATCAGCTTTCTCAAATATCAAACTCATAACGACTCGCGACTACAAGAGATACATTTTTAACAATTCTGTTCTTTTTTTTTTCGATCTTCAACTACCTTCAACTCTAGGGTTGGAAAATTTTCTCAGTGAATTAGGGCCCCATCAACCCTCGTTGCACCGGGGCCCCGACACCTCTCGCTACGCCACTGAATGCAAACTGACGTATTTGTCAATGACTTCAACGTCAATTTTTATCAAGGGACCCTAGTCGACACCCTATTGGTGATCCGTTACCCAGTTTTGTTTACTGCGCAACGCGCACCATCAGACAATGAATGAACTCTACATAAATAACTCATTATTTCACAAAATATCCGAAATCACACATAACATTCTATACATCGGTACCAGAAATCAATTATTAGAATACGTCTTCTGGGACTCGTGAGAGTCGTTAGTCCCAGATTATTCAGATGATGCAATGAAAATAACAAATATTTAACCTAATATCAGGCGGACACTTCGAAAGCTCAAATTCATTACTGCATATGGGAGATATATCTCAAGATTTTTTGCACAAATTATATCAACGTTTCACTTCTGCGATACCAAAGTTAAGATGCTACGAGTCGATTCGATATGGATACGAATTTTTAGTGGAAAGATATAATTGGTTCTCATTAGCAGCCAACAGCGGCTAATTATAGAATTCTAGAGCAGCGGCAGCGCCAATGCCAGCAAACAGTGACAGCATCCTGCCGCGAGCGATCCACAGGTGAAAATACGGATGCGTTAAAACTTCCACCTGAGATGCTTAAGCATCTCAGATCCACCTTAAGCACGACATGGCATATGACATGAAACATGACATAATTTTTGAACTATGACAATGACGCCTTTGACACCTGACCAGTATTTTCATTTCAATTTGAAAAATTTAAAAGATCGTTTTTCTAATTTAGGATTTTAGGATCAGAAATTTCATTGTTATTGAGTAGTATGTCCCATAAAATCAATCCAAGAGAAGTATTGTTATATTTGAATGAACTGGGGTATACCAATGTCACCGCTCAGCAATTGAAAGAATTCATAACAGGTAATATTATATTGCTGGTCATCCACTTGATCTTGTATTTGATGTTCATTTTTTCAGACCTGAAAAAACTGATCAAATATGAGTTCAGACATGGAAAGATTCCGAAATGTATGAATACACTGCCATCACCACAGCCTGATACAAACAATGTAGATCATTTTTTGGATTCCAAAGATCTCAGTTCAAATTCAAAACACTTGACATCTGAAACTTCCAATAAGCAAAAATATGAAGAGGATATTTTCCATACACTTCATAACCACCATACTGTATCTTCTAGAACCAGAACAGTTAATACAAAGGAAAAACATATTTCAGTGCATATAACTCAACCAAGACACAAAAAAATACATGAGCATTGTATTCATGTTGAAAGAACATGTCCTCTTGAAAAAAAGACAAGTACTACTCTGTGTTCATCTGAAACAAATATTGAAGAATCAAATAAAGTTGATAGCTCAAAGACTGAGGTAGAAACAGGGACAGCAGACACTATTGATTGTCAACCTATGTCAAAACAAAGTGTCAGTTGTGGTACCTCAGCCTCCAAATCTGAGAGTAAATCCAAGAAATCAAAGAGTTCAGGTTTGTCAAACTAGATTTTTGCAACTTCATTATTGTGTATCATTATATTTTTATGTAACTATCTTGAATGTTTACTGTGCTTTTTGCAATACATTTTTATTCCCATTGAATTATTCTTTGTTTGATTTATGACTTCAGTATGAGATGAGCATGTTAATTCACATCTTTTAAAGACTTCAAGAATGTTTAATTCTATTGAAATGATAAATGTATTCTTGGGCATAGGTATATTTATTCTCTTCATTTTGTTTCAGTGATTAGAACAAGTTCCTCAAAAACTTTCAACAGATGTGATCCAGTTGCTTTATATCACCAGTATAAAGAAGAATGGAAAAAAATTAAGTTTCCAGGACTGGATCACCATTCTGATTTGAGGTGGGCAGTCAGAGAAAAACTCATGAGTGGTCCTCCAGTTCAAGTACCTATGAGAAGAAGTAGTAGTAAGAAGAATTTCAATGATTTCAACCTCTTTTAATATAATTATCATTACTAGAAATTGATAAGGATAAATAACATATATTTTTTTATTGACAAAATATTGAAGAATGTTGCTCTATCTAGTATTTTTGTAAGATGTATTAAGTACAAGCTACCTGATGATAAGTAGATATAGGAGTTCAATAAATACTTGTTTCATTCATCTTTTCATGCCAAAATTGATTCATAGAAGTTAGTATTCCAGATATGATATATCCAATTGAAACTTAAGGACCAGCTACATAAAGCTATCTGTCAATATGAAACTGCATTGATAAAAGTACCATCACAGTTAAAATAAAGAACAAAAAAAGAAAAGAATGGATGACATCATTGAATTCAGTTAACAAAAATAATATACCTTTTATGAAATTTGAAACAATACTCATTCATATCCCAGGATTGAATGAAAAACAATACATTTTCATTTATAAATTACTTCTATCTTGAACTAATCAATTGATTTAATAACCATATTCTTATTTTATATACCTTACAACAAGTTATACTTCATAAGGTTGTCTTTGTTTATTCAATACCAAGATGTATACTTGTGATTTATATTATGTCAACATTTTGAATGAACTTTATTATTATTATTATTATCATCAACTCTTTTAGCTCATTATCTGATGCATATGTACCTCTGGATATAAATAAATTCAAATATTGAATCCTTCCACTATAAATGCTTTATGCAACCAGCTTTCATGTACATATCTAAGAAATCTCTTTCATATTATGTTCAATAATGAAATCATTAGATATTCCACAGATATCAAATTTCTTGGTTTAATCATTGATCAAAATTTATCATGATTGAAACATATTGAAGTGAAATTATAGGAGTACTTGACAGAATCAGACATGAAATTTCTTTCAATTATCTAAAACTTATTTATTATTCCTTGATTTATTCTAAAATTCAATATTCTAGGTACTGCTAGTTCATCAATTATGAAGCCAGATCTCTCAAAATAAAGTTGTCAAATGTGTATATAAATTGGATCATTTGGAACCAATAAGAATCCTTCATAAACCAAATAAAATATTAGATATTCAATTAATATATAAATTCCAGAGAAATTTATAATATTAATATTCATTCATTCATTCAAACACAATTACAAACATTCCAATTTGAATTCTTAAATTAATTATAATATAAGTACATTCACATTCAACTACAGACAAACAGACATGTTTTATCCCATAAAAATCAAATCTGAATTTGGCAAGAGATCTCAATATTACAATGGATCAGTACTTTACAATGAATTGCCAACAAGACTTAAATAATATATCAGTACCAAAAAATTCAAAATATATACCAATGACGAAACACTGTCTATTATAGTCCAGTCTGCCAATTGATAGAGGAGGCTAGCATTCAGGCGAGACAAAAGACTGTTGCAATTTCCTCAAACACTTATATCCACATCACGGTCCTATTCACACTTGAAATCTATAGGATTCGTGTATAACTAATCTGACAACAGCAAATGACAGTTGTTGTCAACTCACTCTCCGCGCGGACCAGGGTTGCCATTTTGATTTTTATTCCATCAGTAAATACCTTCAGGAGCGTCCGCAGAAATAATGTCAGGGAGGGGCAAGTCACAATAAATAATGTAAATTATTCAGAACGTATAAAAAAAAACGGTTTCTTCACGACCTTATAAGCGATTTTACACCTACAAAAGCAAGAAATGGTATATAAACCTCGAAAGTGAGTTCTTTCTTCCCTCAGTGCATTGTAGCACCCTCTGGCTACAAAACCACCTCTGGAAAAATCATGCACTTTACTCTCTCGATATATAATCTACAATTATTCCACATAAAACATGGGATAAAAAAAAGAATATTAATTGAATTGACATCACATATATAGGTATGCTGTTCACAGCCAAAATTACAATTAAAAATTGGACGTGATGATAATTATAATCTTGTTCAAACAAAAATGGCATTCTTATAGAGTCTTGAGCAAATTTATCGATAACTTCGTTGATAAAATTAACTCTTTATATATCTATAAGATGTCGATGAATACTAATTAAACAAAGTCTCAGAAATTCACTATAATGAGCGCTAATCAGAATCGGAATTGAATAATGCAAATGCGAGTGCAAATGTATCTTGTTTAGAAAGTATGTGATGAGTAAAGACCAGGCGCTTGGGGGGGGGGGCGAGCGCCCCCCTTGCCTCCCCCTCCGGACGCCCCTGAATACCTTGTCAAAAATTCTATAGATTTCAATAGATCTGTTCAAGATCTATTTTATGCTATACGAATTCCAAGAAAAGATAATGAAATAAACCTATGACGTCAAAACCTCGATCAAAACATTATGTACTTTTAATAAAAGTAACCTATTTTCAACAAAATAAAAACAAACATTCTTATACAAAAATACTTGTATTCCTAATTCTCAATTCAAAAATACTCACAAATACTACAAAATACAGTTCCATAGGTACAGGGTGATTCACCATGGATGTTTCCTCCTCTAGCTCACTTATTTTTGATCCGATTTGAAAATTTGAAAAATAATCGTTAATGATTTTTCAGATTTTTTTTCCGTTGCATCAGAAAATACAGGGTGTTCGGAACAAACGATCTATAGAGTACTACTTGATTTTTTCAAATGAAACACCTTGTATTTCATTGTATTTTTAGAATCTTCCTGAAGAGCTGATTTCATCAATGTATCACACTTGGGGTTTAGCGGGAATGATTACAGAGATATATGATGTTCAAAATCGATATTTTTCAACATTTAGGATTTTTTTGTGTCAAAACTATTCATTATTGGTCAAAACGGCTTCTATGTCCTTATCTCAACTTTTGATTTACTATCTACTGACATTTAATTGAAACATTCACAGGGTGGTTCAAGATTAAGAATTCTGATCACCCTGTATCTGTTCCAATTGTTAAATATCTGTATCTCAAAAACGAAGCAAGTTAGGACACATGAATATGAATATGAACTTTGTTTACTAGAATGTCACAAGGAAACAGTCGGTTTTCTGTGTTATTTAAATACACCCTGTATATTCTTGTGAACATGTAAAACTTTTTAGGACTGACAGAAAATGCTGATAAGTCGGTTGAATCTCAATCTAAAAATATTCAAGAGAATGTAACTGCTATCAAACTGTCCTTTCACAATGCGACTTTTTGTAATCGAGTTCTTCGGTATTTTGTTGCCGATAAAGTTGAATGAACCCGGCGTCCAAAAAGTTGTGGTGGGACTTAAAAAAGTCGATTTGTTGTCAGTAGGTCAGTGGACCAACGCTTACTTACATACCTTGTCTATTAATTTCATCTTTATCTTCTCCTCCTCAACAATTACTGATTACATGGATACATTTTCTTGATAATTATTATTATTATTTCAGTTCTATGGACAAAAGTTAAATCGCAAAGTTGTAGGCAATAAAAAGATCTCTAACTCGTGTAGATACAGTTTTTTGACAATACCTCAAAATTTATGTGAAAAATTCAAATTACCAAATTTTCAAATACTGTCTGTAGGTTAATCGAGGAGGTGGTACATTCATTATTCCAAATTTTTTGGGATACCCTTTCCTCGTTTCTATAAAATAAAAATATGAATATTATTTCAATATACGTGTAGTAAGGACGAATCAGATGATTTGCCCCAAAATGTCACTGCGTTTAAAGAATTTTCCTATCAGAGAGCCTAAAAGAAAAATTCACTAGCTTGTCAGTGACAATTTGTATTAAAAAAATTTTGAAGAAGAGAAATAAAGGTATATAGAAAAAATATCAAATTTTCACTTATCTCTGGACGTTTCGAGATCGATTCTGCTCCCGTTTTCAACATAAGAAGAGATTACTTCAATAGCAAAGCTTTTCAGTTTTCACTGACAATTGGTGACGTTGGCAATCAAATGAGTCACAAGATGTTTTCATTAATTAATCTTGAATTTACCATTTTCATGTTCAGATTTTAGTACTGAATACCATGTTCTGTTTATATCAACTGAACAAGAAGCAATGCTTTTGTCTCCGTTCAGAAGAATGCAAGCAGATTCCTTGATTTTTCTCTTCTGGTTGTCATCTTCTTTTCCAATGATTTTGATATTGTTCCACTCTGCCATATGTTGTCCGTCTTCAGTAAGGATATGTTCAGCTAGTTTCGATTTATCGATGTGTGAAACCAAGAGACCTCTTTCAGTAAGGATAAGTACCACTTTTCTCCCTTGTTATACAAATAGCTATTTTCTGCAAACGGTTTGCGCATTGATAACAATTTGCGAAGTTAAACTTTTTTCAGTTTATGGTCCTCAATCGAGCAAACATCCAAGAAATCATTTATTTCTAAATGTTTAACAATAATCAAGACATTTCAAGCCAATTCAACACTATTTTTTATATCAAGCTGAGATATTACAATTTTAGAACCATATTTTTTGACGTTTGTAAAAAAATATTGTTTGCAGCGGCTCGGTGGTCGAGAGCGTGAATGCGCTGAGTTCGTATGGGGACTCCCACCGAGACATAGGTTCGAATCCTAGTTAGGCCATGGATGTTTGTATGCTTACCTAACCCCGCACAAGTTTCGACTTATGGGGCGTTTGGTCCCAGTGCTGGGACCGACGAGGTAATGCAATTGCAAAAAAAAATTCATGCGCGAAAAACTTTGGTGGCCCCTCACCCTGTGTCACCCGGTATTTGCAGCATTCTAGAATAGGATATTCAGTTTTAATATCCTCCTGAACATGCTACAATAGCGAAACTCGACTCGCTTTTGTAAGAGGAAAAACATATAGTGTAGTGTGAAATAGGTACCTATCTGGCGTAAATTCGATTAGTGTCTCCAACAAGGATATAGCCGTTTCACTTCCGGAATACATTCACAGCAAACATTTTGATATGGGGCATTAAAGGCCTAGAAAATGGTCCCATATACGGTCCCATATATCAGTACACTGCGGCCGGCAGCTGGTCCCAGTTCTGGGTGCCCAGCAATCATAATCAGTTCCCCGGCAAAAGGCCAGTACAATATAATCGACACATTGAGTTTTCCATAGCAAGCCCAACAGGAAAATATAATGGGACTGTAATGGCCATACTATCTGATTTGAAAATGTTATCGCCACTTTTCGGGTATTCCGGAAATATTATTAACTTCCGTGAGCCGTTTTGACCGATAATGAATAGTTTCGACAAAAAAAACCTAAAGTTGAAAAATCTCGATTTTGATCACCCTATATCTCTGTAATCATTCCCGCTAGACCCCAACTGTGATAGATCTATGAAATCAGCTTTTCAGGGAGAATCTGAAAATTCATTGAAATACAGGGTGTTCTATTTAAAATAAGGAAGTTATTAACAATTCCGGAATAAC